TTACACTCCACTCTATCTAAGAACATTCCATGATTATCGTTTTTACAGAAAATCAAGACATTAATTGTACTAATTGCCATACTAAAAATGTGACTGAGTCATCAAATATGAAAATGTTGTGATTGGATGCATACAAACAATACAATTTTAACTTCATACATTTACAGAATAATTGTGTAGAAATCAATCGAATATTAAATTTACATACTATGCCTTTGTTGCACGTTGTTCGATCCCTTAATCAATATAATAATTGTGTTTTTTTTAATTTTACCCATGAAATATGGTGCTATATCAATCAAATATATTTCATATTTTTAAAAATAAAAATAAAATATAAGTATGAAACTGGGCCGTCCCGGCTCGTGAAAATAAGTGGCATTTTATTATGTTTCGTGCAAATATATTCCATATTTCACTCAAACAAAAAAAATATCCTCTTAATATTTGTAACATATTTTTGTTTGAAACTTTTGGTTTTGAAAAACAACAAGCTGTTGTGAAACACTTAATTTATTCAAGCTTTATAAATATACAATTTTTATTTGTGTTTGAGTGTTTTGATGCACTAAGTGGACTGTTTATTATATACTTATAAATGAAATATTGAGAAATATTGATGAAATAAAATGCGTATTATCATTTTCCGTATTTTCACTGTAAAAATTTATTTTTCACTGCAGTGAAACATATTTTCCGTATTTTAACTTGTGTCTTGCCGGACTACTTTCTTTTAAATTCTGCCAGTACACAAAATTTAAGGCAAAGTCTTTCAAATTTTATCATAATAAAAAAAATGTATATAATAAACAGAAAATTCAAGTTTTTCTATAAAAACATGATTTATTTTCATCTTGTGGCATGAAAATTACCATATTTCACTCGTGGCTACGGCCACTCATGAAATGTTTATTTTCATACCACTCGATGAAAATAAATCATGTATTTATAGAAAAAAACTTGAATATCCTCTATTTATTCTACTTATCACTAATATGTGTTATAATGAAAACAAATAACTATATTTCCTTTCGTACATAATATCCTTGAAACACAACCGCTATCCATTATTTTGTTTGAGTACAGACTATTGTCATAATTATTTTAAATACACACCCCGGAATAAACACAGACAGAATCGCACATATGAGGTTTTAATATTCTGCCAAGAGAAGTACAAAGTAACAGGAAATGTAAATTTCAACTCTCAACTCAAATAATTTTATTGCGTTAAACATACAATATCTGTTGTTAGCACATACAAAATATCTATAGGCAGAAGACATAGATTTTTCAAGGAGCACAAAAATACTGTAAAACATTTGAATTCATAATTATGACGTGTTAGAGGTTCTGTAAAACAGGAAATGTAAATAACATATATGTCTAATAAATATCATTTCAGGATTTGGCAATCAGTTACATTTGTAATAAAAATATAATTACATTGAAATTTGAATTGGTCCAAAAGATTGAAAGTGTGGTCAGTTTGATATGTTAACAGTGACAGGAAATAACAGTCACGATACTATAAGATAACTAGCATACATCTTGACTATCTGAAATAAAACTTTTTCACACGTCATCCAGTTTTTTAGTTTGTTTCAAGGAAAACTGAATCTAAAATATGACCATTATACATATACTGTATATATAAAGTGTTCTTTTTTTTTTTTTTTTTTTTTTTTTTTTTTTTTTCAAAAACATATAAACACAATCATTCACATTTACATAGAAACTCCAGACAGAAAAAAACGTAAAAACAAAACTTTCAAAAAATTCATTCTTACACTAAACAAAACACACACACACACACAAACGCACACACGTGTGTGTGTGACATCACTTAACTATATAAAAGGTGGCTATTAAAGTTTTTGAAGCCGCACAACGCTATCAGAACAAATCCAAAGAAATAATACAAAACTTTTAAATATATACATTTAGATTTCTTCAAAACAAACTTATTTTTCTTTAACAAGTATAGTTAAACGTACCACCACTGCAATGATGAGTATGGCTATGCAAAACTTTCATTTGGGCATAAAAATACCGCAAAGCAACGTTTAAGGCCAAAGTTCACTAGCTTTTTCATTGTCGTTTGGAGCAACTTGTCCGTATATTCTTTATATAATTAAAATGATAAATAAATATATTTTTATTTTATGTAACAATACAGCATTTAAAATTAAATTATCTTAACTTATGTTTTAAAAACTATCAAATCGACACGATTTCACGAATTTGAATGTTTTTAAATAAGGTTCACACTGATAAAGAAAGTACACTATTTAATCTTGTAAGACAATAAAAACATAACAAAAGCTACCAAAGCTAATAATGTTTTTAAGTACTTGTTTCTCCAGAGCAGCTCTGATATTTATCTTATTTAAAATCAAAGTATCTAAATCAAAGTAAATAACTTAAATCTAAATATTTCTGATGAAGTACGACTTAATTGAAAGTCGAACCAAATTACCATTACCAAAGGTCGAATTGGTGAGGGGTATCCTGAAAGTTCACAAGAGTCATCTGTTCCAACCATAGTTGTTTATTTTGCCAGCATCTTCCGCTTTGCTGTACAACATGGTTGTCAGAGATTAAAAAAGGAATCCTTGCACGGTTACACAGGTCAAACAGCTGGTGGGATTTTGAAAATATGTTACAGGAGTTACCAATACCACAGGTGTGAAAATTGCTGTAACAATCTGCTTCGCTGCATAAAATGGCCGCAAGTGCTAAAAATCGAGAAATCTTGTCCGGCTGTCACAGGTCAAATTACATGGGGAAATTACTGATACTTTACAGGAGTGATCGTTACCTATCTTAGTTGTATATATCACCGGCACGTTCAAATTCTCTGCGCACTATTGCCGCAAGAACTCAAATATGAAACATCTTGTCCAGTACGTTTTCACGGGTCAAATTGATGGCAAGATATCGGTGGAATCTCACAAGGATGATCAGTACCAACCGTAGTTGACATCGCCTCCACGTTCTGCTCCTCTGCACACATTGAATTGCTTGTCATTATAACTATACCACATATATTATTATGTGCCAAAACACATTTTATAATTTTTAGTTATAGACATCAATCGAAAAAGCAGAGATGCCGTTGAGTGTATAAACTGAGTTGTGTTAACTTTTCTGAAATGATATCTTTTATATTAGTACCTTATCCTAAGTTTCACTGCAGTTGACAGTATTTGAAGATTTAAAAAAAAAAATCTTTTCAAATTGAAAGTTATACATTAGGATGGTCATACCTTAACTTCAAACATGTTAAAGATGTTATTCACGGATACAATTTTTACAATTTCTTTTGAATGTATTTTTTAAAATATAAAAGTTAAAGTGAGACTGATGGAAAGAAAATTGAAATTTATTTTAGTAACACATTTTTATTGAAAGTCCGTATAATAAAAGATGACATAATCATTTAGAATTTTAAATCGGTTGTGAATTTTCGAAAGAATTACCATTGTTGTATAAGGTGAAAAATATGTGGAAAATAATTTTAAAATATTATAATTGAAAAACTTCAAGAAGGATATTGACACTTGGCATGATTGGATTAAGTTTTATCGATTTTAATCATAGCTTTAACAAATGCAATTCCTTCATGATTACATCTTTTACACTTAAAATCTATATTTACAGATATAGAAAAACCAAGGCATAAAAGAAGCTTGACGAGTGGTGAGTAGATAAACGTTATTTTTTTCTGTAACAATAACAGTTTATATTTTGAATATCCGTAAAACTGTACATGACAAAACCACTTGGAATACAACGGTAGAGAATAGATAAATACAGAATCCCTAAAGAAGACCCAACACGGCAAAATTGAAAATGTTGCAGGCTCGGTTTGATTGAGCCTGTTCATGGACGGTACTGGAAAGTGCAAATTACCGTCCACGCCCCCTAGCACCGGCTTAAGCAGAATTCAACATTTAAACATGAAATGGTAAAAATTTGAATTTAGAAACATCCGCAGATGTGTTCATACGGCGGTTATCATGGAACCTTCAATGTGACACTTCCGTGCCATTCCATGAAAAGCGGCGTATGGTCCCCAAGTAATAAAAAGCGTGTGCCCTAAACGAGAAAACAATGGGCGGAACTAAATAAAATGGAATTTTGAAAGGGGATCAGAGGATATGAAGCCTGCGTATCACAGATTAGACGTCAAAAGACAAATTTTAAAAGCAGGCAACATATCCTAAGGGTGATTCAACATTATTCAAGTAGGAATATTGGAACCACCCAACTAGAAAATGCCGAAAAGTAGAAACTAAAAATACCACAAGCACAACAATAATGCCGTGCTGAACGATCTTCAAGGATCGAAAAAATAACATCATTGATTAAATGTACGGGGAGACTTTTTACAGCCGCCACTCGGCACAAATAACACGGATGTGATCATAAAATAGATAAATACAGAATCCCTAAAGAAGACCCAACACGGCAAAATTGAAAATGTTGCAGGCTCGGTTTGATTGAGCCTGTTCATGGACGGTACTGGAAAGTGCAAATTACCGTCCACGCCCCCTAGCACCGGCTTAAGCAGAATTCAACATTTAAACATGAAATGGTAAAAATTTGAATTTAGAAACATCCGCAGATGTGTTCATACGGCGGTTATCATGGAACCTTCAATGTGACACTTCCGTGCCATTCCATGAAAAGCGGCGTATGGTCCCCAAGTAATAAAAAGCGTGTGCCCTAAACGAGAAAACAATGGGCGGAACTAAATAAAATGGAATTTTGAAAGGGGATCAGAGGATATGAAGCCTGCGTATCACAGATTAGACGTCAAAAGACAAATTTTAAAAGCAGGCAACATATCCTAAGGGTGATTCAACATTATTCAAGTAGGAATATTGGAACCACCCAAATTTTTTCTGTAACAATAACAGTTTATATTTTGAATATCCGTAAAACTGTACATGACAAAACCACTTGGAATACAACGGTAGAGAATTCTTGCCAGAATGACCACTATGGTACAAGGTGTAAAATGAATGGGAAATATTTATTATCATAAAAACATTATAGATTATAATCATAGCTGCACCAAATATAATTTTCTAAAAGAACCAATCTTTTACACTTGTAATTTTTCTTTACAGACAAAAACATCCCCAAACGTAAAAGAAGCAACAGGAGTGGTGAGTATATAAACTTTTTGCTTTTCTAAACTGAAATTAACATATTAACATTATATATTGACTATACGTACAGTTATAGATGAAATAACCACTTGCTAATGCACAATGAAAGAATGACTATTGTTGTATAAGGTGGAAAAGAATGGGAATACATATCAATAGTCGTTAATGAAGACAAATCGACTAGACATGATTTGGATTCTGGATTATTATTTTTTTAAATCATTGCTTTTAATCATAACTTCAGCAAATGCAATTTCTGCAACATTACGTCTTAAACACTTTTAATCTGTATTTACAGCCATAGAAAATCCAAGTCTTGAAAGAAACTGGACGAGTGGTGAGTACATAAATGTTAAGTTTTTTTAGTATTGATAATAACACAGTAATTTATTTATTGAATATCGGTGTGATAATAGAAGACACAACCACTTGGAATTTTACAAACTTAAGGTTGATATTTTTGATATTTTTAATGGATTACGGATTCATTTGTTTCAAGTGTCTTAAGACATGTTGCACTTGCTATAGTTATCTTACATAAACTTTCATCATCAAAAAATATATAACATGGCTTAATCTCACTTAGTAGTGATTTTTGAATTACCATTTTGTTTCGTTTTTAATTCATTTTTAAAGAATAGCACGTTAAAGGCAGGTAAAATGCTTCCATCTACTAAAAAGTAGAAAATACTATTAATTTTGGATCCAAAAAAGGATCAAGTACTGAAGTGTTGTTTAATTCAGCTCAGGTGAGATCCCTATCTCAGTAAAATATAACAAAACAGCCTTAAAAGAACACGTTCAACAGGTATTTCTTTTAATTGTGTTCAAAGTATATCAAAACGACATGACACTCTTAGACATGACTTTTTGCAAATTAGTTCAGCAGTCACATGCTATAACTACAAACAAAGATTCGGATTTGGAACTGTCCATGTTTATCGGCATAAAACTGAAATTAACATATTAACATTATATATTGACTATACGTACAGTTATAGATGAAATAACCACTTGCTAATGCACAATGAAAGAATGACTATTGTTGTATAAGGTGGAAAAGAATGGGAATACATATCAATAGTCGTTAATGAAGACAAATCGACTAGACATGATTTGGATTCTGGATTATTTTTTTTTAAATCATTGCTTTTAATCATAACTTCAGCAAATGCAATTTCTGCAACATTACGTCTTAAACACTTTTAATCTGTATTTACAGCCATAGAAAATCCAAGTCTTGAAAGAAACTGGACGAGTGGTGAGTACATAAATGTTAAGTTTTTTTAGTATTGATAATAACACAGTAATTTATTTATTGAATATCGGTGTGATAATAGAAGGACACAACCACTTGGAATTTTACAAACTTAAGGTTGATATTTTTGATATTTTTAATGGATTACGGATTCATTTGTTTCAAGTGTCTTAAGACATGTTGCACTTGCTATAGTTATCTTACATAAACTTTCATCATCAAAAAATATATAACATGGCTTAATCTCACTTAGTAGTGATTTTTGAATTACCATTTTGTTTCGTTTTTAATTCATTTTTAAAGAATAGCACGTTAAAGGCAGGTAAAATGCTTCCATCTACTAAAAAGGAGAAAATACTATTAATTTTGGATCCAAAAAAGGATCAAGTACTGAAGTGTTGTTTAATTCAGCTCAGGTGAGATCCCTATCTCAGTAAAATATAACAAAACAGCCTTAAAAGAACACGTTCAACAGGTATTTCTTTTAATTGTGTTCAAAGTATATCAAAACGACATGACACTCTTAGACATGACTTTTTGCAAATTAGTTCAGCAGTCACATGCTATAACTACAAACAAAGATTCGGATTTGGAACTGTCCATGTTTATCGGCATAAAACTGAAATTAACATATTAACATTATATATTGACTATACGTACAGTTATAGATGAAATAACCACTTGCTAATGCACAATGAAAGAATGACTATTGTTGTATAAGGTGGAAAAGAATGGGAATACATATCAATAGTCGTTAATGAAGACAAATCGACTAGACATGATTTGGATTCTGGATTATTTTTTTTTAAATCATTGCTTTTAATCATAACTTCAGCAAATGCAATTTCTGCAACATTACGTCTTAAACACTTTTAATCTGTATTTACAGCCATAGAAAATCCAAGTCTTGAAAGAAACTGGACGAGTGGTGAGTACATAAATGTTAAGTTTTTTTAGTATTGATAATAACACAGTAATTTATTTATTGAATATCGGTGTGATAATAGAAGACACAACCACTTGGAATTTTACAAACTTAAGGTTGATATTTTTGATATTTTTAATGGATTACGGATTCATTTGTTTCAAGTGTCTTAAGACATGTTGCACTTGCTATAGTTATCTTACATAAACTTTCATCATCAAATAATATATAACATGGCTTAATCTCACTTAGTAGTGATTTTTGAATTACCATTTTGTTTCGTTTTTAATTCATTTTTAAAGAATAGCACGTTAAAGGCAGGTAAAATGCTTCCATCTACTAAAAAGTAGAAAATACTATTAATTTTGGATCCAAAAAAGGATCAAGTACTGAAGTGTTGTTTAATTCAGCTCAGGTGAGATCCCTATCTCAGTAAAATATAACAAAACAGCCTTAAAAGAACACGTTCAACAGGTATTTCTTTTAATTGTGTTCAAAGTATATCAAAACGACATGACACTCTTAGACATGACTTTTTGCAAATTAGCTCAGCGGTCACATGCTATAACTACAAACAAAGATTCGGATTTGGAACTGTCCATGTTTATCGGCATAAAACTGAAATTAACATATTAGCATTATATATTGACTATACGTACAGTTATAGATGAAATAACCACTTGCTAATGCACAATGAAAGAATGACTATTGTTGTATAAGGTGGAAAAGAATGGGAATACATATCAATAGTCGTTAATGAAGACAAATCGACTAGACATGATTTGGATTCTGGATTATTTTTTTCTTTAAATCATTGCTTTTAATCATAACTTCAGCAAAATTTAATGCAATTTCTGCAAAATTACGTCTTAAACATTTTTAATCTGTATTTGCAGCCATAGAAAATCCTAGTCTTGAAAGAAACTGGACGAGTCGTGAGTACATAAATGTTAAGTTTTTTCAGTATTGATAATAACACAGTAATTTATTTATTGAATATCTGTGTGATAATAGAAGACACAACCACTTGGAATTTTACAAACTTAAGTTTGATATTTTTGATATTTTTTAATGGATTACGGATTCATTTGTTTCAAGTGTCTTAAGACATGTTGCACTTGCTATAGTTATCTTACATAAACTTTCATCATCAAAAAAATATAACAAAACATATCATCAGTAAAATATAACAAAACAGCCTTAAAAGAACACGTTCAATAGGTATTTCTTTTAATTTTGTTCAAAGTATATCAAAACGACATGACACTCTTAGACATGACTTTTTGCAAATTAGTTCAGCAGTTACATGCTATAACTACAAACAAAGATTCGGATTTGGAACTGTCCATGTTTATCGGCATACAAGTAAACTTTATAGAATTCATTTCCTATTGAATAATTTTAAGGCGGGAACAAATGTTCACAGCTAAATAAAACAGATTGCTATTAAAATTTATTTATAATTTAGTATTCATTATTTTACAGTATTTACATTTTCCATTAACAGACATTACAAAGGGAATGCGATTAAAAATCGTATTGTTATTATATCCCTCGCAGAATCTTCGATTTTCAAAACTTTACAGAAATCTGTATCAAAGCAATATGCTATTGGTAATCATTGATTAAAACATGCAAGTGCTGATGATTAAATATCGACTTATCCGTAACTAACGGCATGAATAAAGCTGCAGTAATCATTATATGTGCAATAACCTGGCAGTACAATCCATAATCTATCCAGCTAGCTTACGGAACGTCGGTGGTTCTACTCAGGTGCCCGTTCGTGCTTGAAATAATGTACGGAAGGGCACATGAGGTCTTCCTTGACCAGTAAAGCTGGAACGTCGCGATATTACCGATACTGTGTCGGTGTGACGTAAAACCCAATAAAAAAATATCCATAATCTTTAATCAACATACATTGTCGAGCTAAGCAATCGACATTCAGTTCAATATTCGATATTCGTAATTAACAAGTATATAAAAAGCTAATCTAAAAACAAATAAAAAGCTAGACAATAAGCTTGACATTCAATTCACCTCATGATTCGATATTCGTTAGTTTTTTTAACAACAAAATGAATGCAGACAATCCTCTACAAACTTGTATTTCAAAATGTTCCATGTTCAATGTATTACTCAACATTAGTTTTGAAACTCAGTAAATAAAATGTTGAGTATGATGCCAATTGTCGCGAGAAAAGCAGGGCTTGAGCCCTTGGTTGTGAGTTAGAGACCCTATGAGAATTAAGAGCAATTAAATGAACTATTTCTATTTCAATTTGTTCTGAAACGTTGCTGTTTATGATACTGATTAAAGTTGTTTTAGAAGTCACCTATCTAGTTACTATACTGTAGTACTCGAGGGAGCGGTGACCAAGTGGTTAAGGTTTCTGCCTCTCAACCCGTGGATCTTGGGTTCGTGCCCTAATCGCGTCACGCCCATGTTTCTTCAAATGACACCAGTACTAGTTTGTTCCAGGAAACCTTCTCGAAAGTGATAAATATAAGTTGCAAGAACTTGTTTCGCAATCTAGCTTAAATAAATATGTTTAAACAAAACTACACTGTATGTGGTTTTAAATATTTTGAATTTTTAATAACATTGGAAAAATAAATTTCGTAAAGCATGAAAAGTCTTGTAAAATTAAGAAAGATTTTTTTTTGGCGACGCCGATAACCGGCATCGTCTTTAATGGAATGCATTGATTTTTGGCCCATGGTAGGAGCTGTTATTATAAGCATTTAATGTCATGATGTGTTAATAAGTTTTATTTTCATTCTTAAAAATCCAGTAAACAAATATGTATTTATATTTGCATTCCAAACTGCTACTTCTGTGCCACTGCTACTGCCAATTTAATGTTTGATTATTTTGCTATTTTGCTACTGAAACTGCTATGCTACTGCTAATGCAAATTTCACATTTTATATTTTTGCTACTACTGCTACTGCCAATTTCACGTTTTATAATTTTGCTACTGCTACTGCTGTACTACTGCTACTGCTATACTTCTGCTAATGTCAAGTTTCCTACTGCTGCTACTGCTTCTGCCTACTTCCCATACATTGCTAGGGCTGATAAGAGATGTTGCACATTTAAAATCATCTTTTATCAATATATATATTTAATGCCAAAAACAAAGAAGCTTGGTATTTACAAAATATTTCAAAATGCTAAGTAAACACAAAATTAATATGAATATGCATTGAATTACTGAATACGCAGCAAATAAATTGACAAATGATTCATAGAATGTTAGCAATTTTATGCATTCGTGAGTTTGTTTTTGAAGGTATATTTTGTTCGAATATCTAATCATTACTTAAAAAACTTAAATAAATAAAATGTTCACGAGTATGATTATTATGACTTTGCAAAACTTACATTTGCGCTTAACAGCTGAATACTTGACGAAATAATCTTATCTTTCTTTTGTACATTGAAAAAAATGATGTGTTGACAGTTACGCTGGTTAAATATTACCTTGAAGTTAATACTTTGAAAATAAGGATTCCGAAGAACAATCATAATACATTACAATTGCTGTATTCAAATTTCGTGTTCATCTGCTTAGAAATATATATATATTTTTATTTCATTTTTATTTATTTATTTCAGAATTTGAGCGGCGCAAAATAGGTAAGAAATAAACTATACATTTTTAGTAGCATAAAGTTTCTCTTTTAAGTGATCTTTTAAATGGGCCAGGAAGAATTTGTGTTTCAGTATGAATGACTGCTATTAGGTTAATTATGAGAAAGGGATAACACAGTTTATGACAACATCACAATAGCAAAAGATGCAGAAATATAATGCAAGGCAACGTTTATTTTAGATCGAAGTTCACTGGCTTTTTCGTTTACGTATAATCTTTATTATTTGATGTAAGAATACAGCGTTTTAACAGATTCAAAAAACAACATTTAAACAGTTAATAAATCAATCATCAGAATTACAAATACATACTAGATTTTATCTGGTTAGAAATGTTGCTTCATGAACAGAATCAATTCGGTACTTTACAATTTTGTTGTTTTCACACCGTTTGCATTGCTGCCGAGGGATCTCCCTTTTTTCCAAGTTAATCTTTTGAATCTTTGGATAACTAAGTACGAAAAGCTTATGTATTACTTTTTCCAACGTTTTTTCTATCCAGTCTTTTAAACAAGTAAAGAAAAGAATTGTAATTTAACAACAACATATTCTAAATTTTCCTTTATAGAATCAAAATAATATACAAACAACTTTACAACACTCAACAAAAACAAGATCGACTAGACGTGCCTTTTATGAACAGAAGTATCAGATACATAACAAGGTTGAAAATTGCTTAACAGTTATGAAGAAATTAAAAACATATTAAGCAATCAAGCAACACAATGCATAATTTCATACATAGTTTTATTTTTAACGCATATATCTTATTTATAATGAAATGATATTATAATTACTTACGAGAACAAAAGAGTTAAATTTGTATGTCATTTACGTGTTTTACTGATTCGCCGATATAATATCAGCAAAAATAGCCGAATAGACTTCCTGACTTAACAATCATGTCACTAATATTTCCAGTCTAAAAGTCCGAATCGATGAAAAAGAACTAAAACTTCCTATTATGTATTGGATTCCTAAATTACATAAAAAACCTTACAAAGCCAGATTCATTGCTTAGCCTAATTCTTCATCTAGCACAACAAGTAAACTTTCTATTTTATTAACGTCTTGTTTGACTGACATTAAAACACATGCAGTTAGGTATTGTGATAAAGTGTTCGAAAATACAGGCAAACATCTATTTTGGTCCATTAATCATTCCGGTGAAATTCTGGATAAATTAAAAATTAAGAACTATCGGGCTTCAACTGTCAGTACATACGATTTTTCTACCCTTTATACTACACTGCCACATAATTTAATTAATGATAAACTAATTTCCCTTATTCAGAAAACCTTTGCACGGGAAAAAGTCACATTTCGTGCATGTAACTCTCAAAAAGCCTTCTTTACAAACTGTATTGTTAAACAATATACTATGTGGACCTGTGACGAAGTTTGTAGAGCACTCTCTTTTCTTTTAGACAATATTTATGTCAGGTTTGGTAATACCCTATTCAAACAAATCATAGGAATTCCTTTGGGTACTAATTGTGCACCCCTTGTCGCCGATTTGTTTTTATATTGCTATGCAAGAGATTTTATGTTGAGTCTCTCTGAAAATACACAACATGATGTTATTTCAGCATTTAATAATACTTCCAGATACCTTGATGATATTTTTAATTTAGATAATTCTTATTTTGATCAAATGGTGTCTAATATTTATCCTACGGAGCTACAACTTAATAAAACGAATTCTTGAAATTTAACTACATCATTTTTGGATCTTCATATCACTATCAAAAACAATTCGATTCACACGAAAATCTATGATAAAAGAGATGACTTTGATTTTAGTATAGTAAATTATCCTCATTTGGATGGAGACGTACCGCATGCAGCATCTTACGGGGTTATATTAGATTCGCTAGAGCTTGTAGCAACGTAAAGAATTTTAACGAGCGATATATATTTATTACCGGTAAGCTACTCAAACAGGGCTACGGGTTTTATAAATTACGTACTAAATATTTTACAAAATTTTACAATCGTAACTTTGATTTAATTTCAAAATTCAGTAATGATCTAAAAACACTTCTGCGACATGAGATTAGCCAGCCTGATTTTTACGGGGATGTTGTTTACAAAAACTTCGTAAGATCTTGGGTCATTGTAATTATTCTGTTGTCTTTTACTAAAATTATTACCGTTTTATTAAAAAGGGTTTTGACCCTACTATTTTAAGACATACCGCATACTTAGTGTTCAACCCATTTACAGTTGGACACTACGCTTTCCTCTTTTGATTACATCTGACGGATCAAGTGGGAGACTCTATGATGGACAGTTCTTAAAGCCCTTTGGGACTGAATTGCCTTAATGTTTGTCTTCTGTCTTGCTTCGTCGGGCCCTTGTAGGTGATTTTCTTGTTGCTCTGTCTTCCTTTAAGACATCGAGTACTTTTGTTATGGTCATTGGGTTTACTTTTATATGTTTCTACATGATCATTTTGGTGTTTTACTTATTTAACCTTTTGTAACCATAACAACTGTTAGAATTTCACTTGGCGGGGATTCATTTTATTTACACTGTCTTGTTTATAGGAACATGGTGGGGCTAAGAGCGAGGTTTGGTGCACCATTAACCGGTTTAAACTCCCCAGCAGTATTTATGCTGCTGACCGTTCCAAGGCGGCGCCCCTCTATGTTCCTCAGATGTATGTCTATGTTGTTTTATACTGTTATGGTGACACTTTTATGTCTCTTGTTATTTCTCGTCTACGGTAAGTATCTTTCCCTTTGCCCCTAGTTTTTATTTATTTATTTTATTTATTCCCCGCCCCCCCCTTCCCCGGGTGTTACGTCCCCTTCCCCTGTGCCTTTTGACTTTATTGGCCTAATATTCAATCATTTATTTGTTTTCTTTTAGTTCCTTATCAGTAACTAATTATTTATTCTTATGTAGTGGTTTGCCTGCCCGTGCTCTGCCTTATGCCCTGTCCTATTTTTGTTTGGGGTCCTCCTGGGCTCCTTGCCACGTACTGACGCTTGTTACTGGGTCGGGTGGGGGCTGCGTTCATTGAACGCCACCTTTCCTTGTCGATCTTGTTTATTATATTTGATGTTAATACTTTTGCAGTGAATAAAGATGAATAAGTTCACAGAAATCAATTGAATGCCCAAAGAAAAGAAGCTTGCAGTTTCCACAATATTTAGCAGAAATCAATAATAAATATTAATATGATTTTCAAAAAGAAAATTTAACACAAAATTAATATGGATATGCATTGAATTACTGAATATGCAGCAATGAATTGACAAATGATTCTTATAATGTAATGCATTACAATCTTATCCATTTGTGAGTTTGTTTTTAAAGGTATTTTTGAAAATAAGAAAAAGCAATCATAATACATTATATTTACAGTATTTAAATTTCATGTTCATCTGGTTACAAATATATATTATTTATTTTATTTTTATTTATTTCAGTATTGGACATGCGCGAGGCAGGTAAGAAATAAACTATAATTTTTAGTAGCAAAATGTTTCTTCTAAGTGTTCTTATGAATGCGGCAAGGTAGAATTTGTGTTTAAGTATGAACGACTGCTATCAAGTTTATTATGAGAAAGGGAAAACAAAGTCGATAATGACATCACAATAGTAAAGGATGCGAAATATAATGCAAGACAATGTTTATTAAAGCCGAATTTCAGTGGCTATTTCGTTTTTGGCTTGAAACAACTTTACCGTTTAACTAAAAAAATGATGTAACAATACAGCGTTTCAAAAGATTCAAAATATAAACATATAAACAATTATTAAAACAATCATAAGGATAACATATACATACTACATTTTAACTGGAAAGAAATGTTGTTTTTCATATTTTATTCTCATAAACAGACTCAATCAATTCGGCACTTAACAATTTTGTTATTTTCACAGCTTCTTTGGGATCCGTCCTTTTCCATATATTTATACTTCAAAACCAAGTGTCTTGTGTGGTTTGAAAAAAGTAAACAGTTTTCCGCCTTCATTTCAGTGTCATTATATTGATTCCAGCACAATTCGTGTTGGAAATTGATTACCGATTAAATTGGTGCTAGGGGTCATAAAGGATGTTGCACATTAACATTATCTCTCTCATCATAGACTCAATTCAGCGAAGGTTGCAATTTTCGTATTATTTTGTTGCTTTCATTGCTGCCGAGGGATCTCCCTTTTCCCAAATTTATTTTTTGAATCTTTGGATTACTTAGCATGAAAAGCTTATGTATAACTTTTTCCAAAGTGTTTTCTTTCCAGTCTTTTAAACAAGTTAAGCAAAGAATTGTAAAGAAACACCACCATTTTCTAAGTTTTCCTTTATAGAATCAAAATAATATTAAACAACTTTACAACACTCAACTAGAACAAGATCGACTTATGGTACAATTTAAGAACATAAGTATCAGATACATAACAAGGTTTAATATTGTTATAAAAAATTAAAAATATATTATGCAATCAAGTAACAAAATACATTATTTCATGCATAGTTTTGTTTTTTAACATATATATCTAATTTATAATAAAATACGAATATCATTACATACGAGAACAAAATAGCTAAATGTCTGTATGACATTCACGTGTTTTACTGTTTCGGTGACATAATTTAAGCTAAAAAAGGCCGAATATACTTCCTGACTAGATGTAGATACTTTTGCAGTGGATATAAAGATGAATAGGCTCACAAAAACCTATTGAATGCCAAAAGAAAATAAGCTTGCTATTTCCAAATTATTTGGCAGAAATAAATAATAAATATTAATATGATTTTCAAAATGATAATTAAACACCTAATTAATATTGGTATGCATTGATTTAGTGAATACGCAGCATTAAAATTACAAATGTTTCATAGAATGTTAAGCAAAATTTTTAGTATGCATTTGTGAGTTTGTTTTTAAACGCATGCTTTTTTGGTTGGAATATCGTATCATTTCTTCCAAAACTAAAATAGTTAAAATTATTTACTGCTATGATTATTATGATTTTGTAAAACTTTCATTTGCGCTGAACGGTTGAATGTTTGACAACATCATCTTAACTATCTATTATACATTTTGAAACAAAATACTAGTTAAATATTACCTAGAAGATAATACTTTGAAAATAAGAAAAAAAAACAATCATAATACATTACAGTTACTTTATTTCTATTTCATGTCCGTCTGCTTACAAATGTATATTATATATTATGTTTTTATTTATTTCAGATCAGATGAAGTTAAGTAGAGGTAAGAATAAACTATTTTTTAGTAGCATCAAGTTCTTTTTAAGTGTTCTTATAAATGTGGCAAGGTAGAGCTTGTGTTTAAATATGTACTGAATTACTTCTACCAAGTTATCAAAAGGGAGGACAAAATTGATGATGAAATCACAATAGCAGATACGTATAAATAATGCAAGGCAACGTTTGTTAAAGCCAAAGTTCATTGGCTATTTCGTTTTGGCTTGAAACAACTTTTCCGCATAATCTTTGTTATTTAATGTTACAAAACAAAATTTCCAAAGATAAAAAAATATAAACATATAAACAATCATTAAAACAATCATAACAAAATAAATACAAACTAGATTTTAACTGATAAGAAATGTTGCTTACTGATTTGCCAATATAATATAAGCCAAAATAGCTTAATATACATCCTGACTAGTTGTAAATACTTTTGCAGTGGATATAAAGATGAATAGGTTCACAGAAATCAATTGAATGCCAAAAGAAGAGAAGCTAACTATTTCGAAAATATTCAGCAAAAATCAATTATAAATATTACTATAATTTTCAAAAAGTTAATAAAAACAAAATTAATATGGATATGCATTGAATTAGTGAATTTGCAGCAATAAGTTGACACATGATTCATAGAAAGTTAAGTAATACAATTTTATGCATTTGTGAGTTTGTTTTTAAAGGTATATTTTTGTTGGAATATCATATCATAACTTACAAAACTAAAAAAGTTAAAATGTTCACTGTAATGATTATTATGACTTTGCAAAACTTTCATTTGCTCTTCACAGTTGAATGTTTGACGAAATCATTTTTACTACCTATAGAACATTTAGTAAAAATAGTAGTTGGACAGTTGTACCGGCTTCATATTGCCTTGAAGTTAATACTTTGAAAATAAGGAAAAAAAACAATCATAATTCATTACAGTTACTGTATTTAAATGTCATGTTTATCTGCTAACAAATATATGTTATCTATATTAATAATATTTATTTCAGCATTGAAGACGCGCGAAGAAGGCAATAAACTTTATTTTAGTAGTAGTAAAATGTTTTTTCTAAGTGTTCTTAAAATGCGTCCAGGTATATTTTGTGTTTAAGTATGAATGACTGCTATCAAGTTTATTATAGGAAAGGGAGAACAAAGTCGATAATGACATAAGAATAGCAAAGGATGCAAAATTAAAATGCAAGGCAACGTTTATTAAAGTCAAAGTTCAGTGGCTATTTCGTTTTGGCTTGAAACAATTTTACCGTTTAATCTTAAAAAATTGATGTAACAATACAGCGTTTTAAAAGATTCAAAATATAAACATATAAACAATTATTAAAACAATCATAACATAACAAATACATACTAGATTTTAACTGGTAAGAAATGTTGTTTTTTTTATATTTTTTTCTCATAAACAGCCTCAATCAATTCGGCACTTTACAATGTTGTTGTTTTCACAGCTTCTGTGGGATCCGCCCTTTTGTCTTGTGTCGTTTGACAAAAGTAAAAAGTTTCCCGTCTTCGTTTCAGTGGCATTATATTGATTCTAGCATATTTAGTGTTGGAAGTTGATAACCGATTAAATTGGTGCTAGGGGTCATAAAAAATGTTGCACATTAAGATTATCTCTTATCAACAAAGACATTTGAACGACGTCTAAAGTTTTCATATTATTTTGTTGCTTTCATTGCTGCCTAGGGAGGGATCTCCCTTTTTTCCAAGTTAATCATTTGAATCGTTGGATAACTAAGTATGAAAAGCTTATGTTTCACTTTCCCAAAGTGTTTTCTTTCTAGTCTTTTAAACAAGTTAAGAAAAGAATTGTAAAGAAACAACACCATATTCTAAGTTTTCCTTATAGAATGAAAATAATATAAAAAAAACTTTACAACCCTTAACAAGAACAAGGTCGACTTGAGGTATCGGTGAAGAACATAAGTATCAGATACATTACAAGGTTTACAAATTGCCTAACAGTTATGAAGAAATTAAAAATCTATTATCCAATCAAGCAAGAAAAGACATTAGTTCATACATATTTCGTTTCTTTGCGCATTCATCTTTTTTTATAATAAAATGAGAATATTATTATTTACGAAAACAAAATAGCTAAATGTTGAATTTGTATGACATTCACGTGTTTTACTGATTTGCCAATAAAATATTAGCAAAAATAGCTGAACATACTTCCTGACTTGAAGTAAATACTTTTGCAGTGGATATAAAGATGAATAAGTTCACAGAAATCAATTGAATGCCCAAAGAAAAGAAGCTTGCTGTTTCCACAATATTCAGCAGAAATCAATAATAAACATTAAATAATAAATATGATTTTCAAAAAGTTAATTAAAAACAAAATTTATATGGATATGCATTGAATTAGTGAATATGCAGCAATAAATTGACATATGATTCATAGAATGTTAAGTAATACAATTTTATGCATTTGTGAGTTTGTTTTTAAAGGTATATTTTTATTGGAATATCATTATCATAACTTACAAAACTAAGAAATGTTCACTGCAATGATTATTATGATTTTTCAAAACTTTCATTTGCTCTTCACAGTTGAATGTATGACGAAATCATTTTTACTACCTATAGAACATTAAGAAAATAATATTTGGACAGTTGTACCGGCTTAATATTACCTTGAAGTTAATACTTTGAAGAAAAAAAAAGAAAAAAAACAATAATAATACTTTGAAGTTACTGTATTTGAATTTCATGTTCATCTGCTAACAACTATATATTATTTATATTATTTTTTATTTATTTCAGTATTGAAGAAGCGCGAAGGAGGTAAGAAATAAACTATATGTTTGTAGTAGCAAAATGTTTTTTTTAAATGTTCTTAAAATGCGTCCAGGTAGATTTTGTGTTTAAGTATGAATGACGGCTATCAAGTTTATTATGATAAAGGGAGATTAAAGTCGATAATGACATAAGAATAGCAAAGGATGCAGAAATAAAATGCAAGGCAATGTTTATTAAAGCCGAAGTTCACTATTATATATTTCGTTTTGGCTTGAAACAACTTTACCGTTAAATCTTAAATATGTGATGTAACAATACAGTGATTCAAAATATAAACATATAAACGATTATTAAAACAATGATAAGAATAACACATATATACTAGATTTTACCTGGAAAGAAATGTTGTTTTTCATATTTTTTTTCTCATAAACAGACTCAATCAATTCGACACTTTAAAATTTTGTTGTTTTTACAGCTTCTTTGGGATCCGTCCTTTTCTATATTTTTATACTTCAAAACAAAGTGTCTAGTGTCGATTGACAAAAGTTAACAGTTCCCGCCTTCATTTAAGTGTCATTATATTGATTCCAGCACATTTAGTGTTGGGAATTGATTACCGATTAAATTGGTGCTAGGGGTCATAAAAGATGTTGCACATTAGGATTATCTCTTATCAACAAAGTCAATTGAACGACGTCTGTAGTTTTCATATTATTTTGTTGCTTTCATTGCTGCCGAGGGAGGGATCTCCCTTTTTTCCAAGTTAATCTTTTGAATCGTTGGACTTAGTACGAAAAACTTATGTTTTATTTTTTCCAAATTGTTTTCATTCTAGTCTTTTAAACAAGTTAAGAATAGAGTTGTTAAGAAACAACACCATTTTCTAAGTTTTCCTTATAGAATCAAAATAATATAAAAACAACTTTACAACCCTTAACAAGAACAAGATTGACTTGAGGTACCGTTGAAGAACATAAGTATCAGATACATTACAAGGTTTAAAATTGCCTAACAGTTATGAAGAAATTAAAAAACTATTATCCAATCAAGCAACAAAATAAATTAATTCATACATATTTTGTTTCTTAACGCATACATCTTTTTTTTATAATAAAATGAGAATATTATTATTTACGAAAACAAAATAGCTTAATGTTGAATTTGTTTCACATTCACGTTTGTTACTGATTCGCCGATAAAATATACATTTAAGCCAAAATAGCTTAACATACTTCCTGACTTGATGTAAATACTTTTGCAGTGGATAAAAAGATGAATAAGTTCATATAAATCAATTGAATGCCAAAAGAAAAGAAGCTTACTTTTTCCAAAATATTCAGTAGAAATCAATAATAAATATTAAATCAGATATGATTTTCAAAAAGTTAAATAAAAACTAAATTAATATGGATATGCATTGAATTAGTGAATATGCAGCAATAAATTGACACATGATTCACAGAATGTTAAGTAATACAATTTTATTCATTTGTGAGTTTGTTTTTAAAGGTATATTTTTGTTGGAATATCATATCATAACTTACAAAACCAAAAAAGTTAAAGTGTTCACTGTAATGATTATTATGACTTTGCAAAACTTTCATTTGCTCTTCACAGTTGAATGTTTGACGCAATCATTTTTACTATCTATAGAACATTTAGAAAAATAAAATTTGGACAGTTTTACCGGCTTAATATTGCCTTGAAGTTAATACTTTGAAAATAAGAAAAAACAATCATAATGCATTAATGTTACTGTATTTTAATTTTATGTCCATCTGCTAACGAATATATATTATTTATATTATTTTTATTTATTTCAGAATTGAAGAAGCGCGAAGAAGGTAAGAAATAAACTATATGTTTGTAGTAGCAAAATGTTTTTATGCCTCCGGGCATATAGTAATTGAACCATCCGTCCGTCCGTCTGTCCGTCCATCCGCACTCACAGGAGAGTAATTATGTGGCTAGAGGGACAATAGGTAACTGTTCTTTCTCTTTGATGTCATTCATTCCGTAATGCTTTTATGTGGCTATTTTCTTTTGCGTGGCTAAAAAGAACAATAGAGAGAACAATAGAGTAGCCACATAATTACTCTCCTGTTAGAACGTCCGTCTGTCCGTACGAGGTTAACCTAGTACGACAAGTTGGATTTTTCTTAAGTTCTTCTTGTACCAATGGCTTCTTAGTTTACACACTTACTAATCAATACAAAGTACATGATCTGGTCAAGTTACATTACTATGACTTCCATATTTACCAAGTTATTGCCCTTTTCAGCACTTAGAAAATGAATAATGGTTAACCTAAAACGGCAAGTTGGAAATATCTTAAGTTCTTTCTATACTAATGGCTTCATAATTTCCACACTTACTTATCGATACAAAGTACATGATTTTGCCAAGTTATATAACTGTGTCATCCATATTTCCCAGTTATTTCCCTTTTTTCACTTTGAAAATAGGGCCTTGTCTGGTTAACCTATTCCGGCAAGTTGGATTTATCGTAAATTTCTTTTAATTGCTTAATTTATTGAATGAAATCTTGCATATTTGGTAGGTGGATACCTTTAATAGTCCTCTAATTTTTTGTGGAGTAAGTGGTCTCTAGGGTCAAAGTCAAGGCACTGGTTTAGAAAATAAATTTAAACATTTTTGCTCATACAGCCTTTATTTTGTGGTTGATGTATTTCATGTTTAATACAAACATGCCAAGGGAGGTCCTCCTTCTTTGGGTATAGTAAGGGGTCATTTGGGTCAAGGTCAATGTCACCAATGTCAAGGTCACCAATGTTAAAAATAGATTTGTACATTTTTACAGGTGTATTAACCATATTCTATAGATAGATGTCATTTATAATTGATAGGAACATAGAATTTGATGGAGTTAGTGGTCAGTTGGGTCAAGGTCATCAGTGCTAAAAATAGATTTTTACACTTTTGCTCATACAGCCTTTATTTATTGACAGATATATTTCATATTTGGTAGGAAGATAACTTGCATGTTATATTTGCTTTGGATGGAGTTAGGGGTCAGCTTGGTCAAGGTCATCAATGCTCAAAATAGATTTTAACATTTTTGCCCATACAGCCTTTATTTATTGACAGGTGTATTTCATATTTGGCAGGAAGATAACTTGCATGATATTCTATAGGTTTCAGTGGGTCAAGGTCAAGGGTGCCAAGTATAGATTTCTTACATTTATATATATTTGATAAAGTTGAATATTTGTCATTGTCATAGCAATGACTTGGCAAATTATATATTTCACAATTACAAATTGCCATGACTCTGTCAAGCTATATAACTTGTGTTTACAATTTTTTTGGCAATGTTTCTATCCATAAATGAGTGAATGGGTAAAAAAATTTTGAAATATTGCTACTGACAAGAATCGGAGCCGGGGGCATTTGTGTTTAACAAACACGTTCTTGTTTCTAAGTGTTCTTAAAATGCGTCCAGGTAGATTTTGTGTTTAAGTATGAATGACTGCTATCAAGTTTTTTTATTATGAGAAAGGGAGAACAAAGTCGATAATGACATAAGAATAGCAAAGGATGCAAAAATAAATTGCAAGGCAACGTTTATTAAAGTCAAAGTTCGCTGGCTATTTCGTTTTGGCTTGAAACAACCGTTTAATCTTAAAAATTGATGTAACAATATAGCGTTTCAAAAGATTCAAAATATAAACACATAACCAATTATTAAAACAATCATAAGAATAACAAATACATACTAGATTTTAACTGGTTAAAAATGTTGCTTTTTTATATTTTTTTCTCATAAACAGACTCAATCAATTCGGCACTTTACAATTTTGTTGTTTTCACAGCTTCTGTGGGATCCGCCCTTTTCTATATTTTTATACTTTAAAACCAAAGGTTAAGTGTCGCTTGAAAAAAGTAAACAGTTTTCTGCATTTATTTCAGTTTCATTATTATATTGATTCCAGAACATTTAATGATGGAAATTGAATACCTTTTAAATTGGTGCTAGGGGTCATAAAAATGTTTCACATTTAAGATTATCTCTTATTAACAAACTCAATTCAACGAAGTCTGCAGTTTTCATATTATTTTGTTGCTTTCATTGCTGCCGAGGGATCATCATTTTTCCCAAGTTTATCTTTTGAATCTTTGTGTTACTTAGCATGAAAAGCTTATGTATAACTTTTTCCAAAGTTTTTCTTTCCAATCTTTTAAACAAGATAAGCAGAGAATTGTAAAGAAACAACACCATACTCTAAGTTTTCCTTTATAGAATCAAAATTATATAAAAACAACTTTACAACACTCAACAAGAACAAGATGACTTGAGGTACCGTTTAGGAACATAAGTATCAGATACATAACAAGGTGTATTAAAAGCCAAAATAGCCGAATATACTTTTTATTATGTACCCCCTTTGAAAAAAAGGGGGTTAATTGTTTTGCTAATGTCGGTCTGTGTGTCGGTCTGTTCATCGAGAGACCACATGGCTGAGTATCTTAAAAATCTTGATTAAGGTGGTCTTCATATTTCACATATTTGATTGGTCATAACCAACAGATGATCCGTATTGCTTTTTTTTTGGGGGGGGGGTCACTAGATCAAAGGTTAAGGTCAAAGGGACCTTAAATATCAGAATGGTTTTGCATATTATCTTGAAGACATTTTATCACAAAGTCTTCATATTTCTCATAGTGATTGGTCATAACTAGTAGATGACCCTATTGATTTTGGGGTCACTAGGTCAAAGGTCAAGGTCACAGAAGCCTTAAATGTCAAAATGGTTCCGCTGATTATATTGAAAAGGGTTCATCACAAATATGTTCATATTTCACATATTAATTGGTTATAAGTCAATGAACCTTTGGGGTCACTAGGTCAAAGGTCAAGGTCACAGGTGTCTTAAATATCGGAATTGTTTCAATTGATTATCTTGAAAAGTATTCATCACAAAGTTTTAATATTTCACAAATTGATTGATGACCTTTATTGATTTTGGGGATATTAGATCAAAGGTCAAGGTCACAGGGGCCGTGAATGGTTATATGATTTGGTTATTATTTATCACAGTCTTCATATAACACATATTGATTGCGCATAACTAGTAGATGGCCTTTATAGATTATTGGGTCACTAGGTTGAAGGTCAAGGTCACAGGGGCCTCAAATGTCAGAATGGTTTTCGCTCATTATCTTGGTTACAATTCATCGTAATTTTTTCATATTCCACATTTTGATTTGTCATAAGTAGTAGATGACCCTATTGAATCTTGGGTCACTAGGTCAAAGTCACAGGGACCTTAAATGTCAGAATATTTTCTGCTCATTATTTTGGTCACAATTTATCACAAAGTCTTCATATTTCACATATTGATTTGTCATAACTAGTAGATGACTTTTTTTGATTTTGGGGTCATTAGGTCAACGGTGAAGGTCACAGGAATGTTAATATGATTTCCGCTTATTATCTTGGTTACTATTTATCACAAAATATGATAATCAAGGCGGCATTCAATGATCCCCCACACGACCCAGCGACAATGATCCCAGGAGGACCCTTAACATAAACAGGAAAGGGCGCAAGGGAGAGCATGGACAGGCTTATCACTGAAATGTTAAATGAAAAAATATTAGTAACCGACAAAGAAATCAAAATAAAAAAAAAGATTAATAGGCCCACTAAGCAAAACGGCACAGGGGAAGGGGGATAGGAAATACGGGGCGTGGGTGCGAAATAAAGAAGCAAATCTATGGGCAAAAGGGAATATACTTACCATAAACGAGAAAACAACAAGGGAAACAAACGAAAGTGTCACCAAAACAGTATAACACAACAAGACATATATCTAAGGAAAAAAACAGCATTTAAACGATCAGCAGTTTAAGCACTACTGGGGAGTTTAAACCTGTTAATGATGCACCAAATCTCACTCTTAGCCCCACCATGTTCCTATAAACGAGACAGTGTAAATAAAATGAATCCCCGCCAAGTGCAATTCTAATAGTTGTCATGGTTACAAAAGGTGATATATGAAAAACACCAAAATGATCATGTAGAAACATATAAAAGAAAAGCCAATGACCATAACAAAAGTACTAACTGTCTTAAAGGAAGACAGAGCAACAAGAAAAGTTTCTACAAGGGCCCGACAAAGCAAGGCAGAAGACACTTTGTCCGTCAGATGTAATCAAAAGAGGAAAGCGTAGTGTCGAACTGTAAAAGGATTAAACACTAAGCATGCAGTATGTCTTAAAATAGCAGGGTCATAACCTCTTTTAATAAAACGGTTAATGATTTTAAAAAAAACAACGACCCAAAATCTATGGGTCTGGTCAAGTTTGTAAATCACATCGCCATTAAAACCAGGCTGGCTAATCCCTTGTCGCAAAAGTGTTTTTAAATCACTGTTGAATTTTGAAATTAAGTCAAAGTTACAATTGTAAAATTTTGTAAAATATTTCCGTCATTTATGATAGCGGTAGCTCTGTTTTAGAAGCTTGCTGGTAATGTAAATATTCCGCTCATTGAAATATTTCACGTTACTACACGCTCAATCAAATCTAATTAACTGAGAAACATATGCCCCGTAAGATGTTGCATGGGATACGTCTCCGTCTAAATGTGGATGATTAACTATACAAAAGTCAAAGTCGTCTCTTTTATAATAGATTTTCGAGTGAATAGAATTGTTGTTGACAGTAATATGAAGATCCAAAAATAATGTACTAAAATTGTGTTCGTTTTATTAGGTAGAAGTTCATGGGGATAAATATCAGACACCATTTGATCAAAATAACAATTATCTAAATTAAAAATATCATCACGGTATCTGGAAGTATTATTAAAAGCTACTTTAACATCTTATTGTGTATCTTCAGAGAGACTCAACATAAAGTCTCTTTTATAGCAGTACAAAAACAAATCGGCGACCAGGGGTGTACAATTAATACCCATAAGAATTCCTATGATCTGTTTTAATAGGGTATCTGCAAACCTGACATAAATATTTGTCTAAAATTATTATAATATTAGCCGCCATGTCTTCTGGCACCAATTCAAATTTTGAATGTAAAGCTAGAATATCCTTTTTCAGATGTTTTAAAGTAAGTCTTGATTTAGGTGGTCTTCATATTTCACATATTTGATTGGTCATAACCAACAAATGATCCGTATTGCTTTTGGGAGGTCACTAGATCAAAGGTCAAGGTCAAAGGGACCTTAAATATCAGAATGGTTTCCGCATACTATCTTGAAGACATTTTATCACAAAGTATTCATATTTCTAATACTGATTGACTAGTAAGTGACCCCTAATGATTATGGGGTCATTAGGTCAAATGTCAAGGTCACAGGGTTCTTGAATGTTAGTACGGTTTCCGCTCATTATCATCAAAGCTATTTATCACAAAGTCTTCATATTTCTAATATTGATTGGTCATAACTATAAGATGACTCCTATTGATTTTAGGTCACTAGTTCAAAGGTCTAGGTCACAGCGGCCTGAAAAGTCTCATTATCTTGAAAACTATTTATCACAAAATCTTCATTATTTTTCTTTTTCCATAATTAAACACTTCCATGTACCAATTTTTAGCAAGTTTCTATAACAAAAGTACCAATTATGTGAGTCAAGGGCTAGAAAGGGAGCATATATGTCGTTCGACATTTCTTGTTTATTTCAGAATTGGAGAAGCGCAAAATAGGTAAGAAATAAACTATATTTTTGTAGTAGCAGAAAGTTTTTTCTAAGTTTTCTCATAAATGCGGCTAGGTAGAATTTGTGTATAAGTATGAATGACTGCTATCAAGTTAATTATGAAAAAGGGAGATTAAAGTTGATGGTGACATCACATTAACAAAAGACGCAGAAATATAATGCAATTTTATGCATTTGTGAGTTTGTTTTTAAAGGTATATTTTTGTTGGAATATCATATCATTACTCAGAAAACTAAAATAGTTAAAATGTGCACTGGAATAATTATAATGACTTTGCAAAACTTTCATTTGCGCTAAACAGCTAAATGTTTAACGAAATTTACTATCTATAGTATATTGAGAAAAATAATATTTGAACAGTAACACCGGCTAAATATTACCTTGAAGTTAATACTTTGAAAATAAGAAAAAATCATAATACATAACAGTTATTGTAGTTAAATTTCATGTTCATCTGCTTACAAATATATATTATTTATTTCATTTTTATTTATTTCAGAATTGGAGAAGCGCGAAGGAGGTAAGAAATAAACTATATTTTTGTAGTAGCAAAATCTTTCTTCTAAGTGTTCTTATAAATGGGACCAGGAAGAATTTGTGTTTAAGTATGAATGACTGCTATCAAGTTTATCATGAGAAAGGGAGAACAAAGTCGGTAATGGCATCACAATAGGTAAGGATGCAGAAATATAATGCATGGCAACGTTTATTAAAGCCGAAGTTCACTGGCTTTTTTGTTATGGCTTGAAACAACTTTACCGTATAATCTTTATTCAAAAGATTCAAAATATTAATAAATGATTCAAACATCAAATCGACAATGTTTTACTTAATTTTTGTTTTTGGCAGCTTTGGTTTCACTCTGATAAAAGGTACATAAGTTTATTTCAGAAATATAATAAAATCACCACATAAGCTACCATTGCAATAATAAACTGTAAAATATATTCTTATTCATTAAATTTAGTGACCATATTTCACCGCCAATTGTTATTAGCATCTTTATCTGATTCCATTCATTTTGAAACTGCAAAACCCTTGAACACATTGCGTTACTTAGATGACTATTTCTTATTGAAAGCCAATTAATTAGACAATGCGCATGCTTTTACTTTAAAATATAAGATATTTAATGCAGAACCTCCTTTCTGAAGTGTATTGATTTTCAATAAAGATACTTAGTTAATGTCCGTCGTGGTTTCAAACCCTACTGGGATTTTCTTTTTTATTGTAGATTTTTACATTTTTTGGGTTCAATTAGGTTTTTTTATTCAGAACAATCTTGAATAAAGAAAAAAATGCCTGTTTTTTACTATTTAATAAGTGAAAATAGTGTAGTTTTACAAATTAAAACATTTATGTTCTCAATTCGGGAGGCCTGTTCACTAAAATAATGTCAAGAATTGTATCTAGACAATTTTCATATGAAAATATAGATAATATTTGTTTGTTTGTGTTGAAGATGAAAATTTATGTCAACGAGTGGGCTTTAAAAACAGTATTCTCTCGAGTGGCGTATACTGTTTTTAAAGTCCATGAGATGAAATAGAAATGCATCTTACACAACAAACAAGCACAATTTCTTTTTATTTTATGCTTAAAAACAAGTTAAAACGAAATTTCTTTAATATTAACTTTAATATTAAAATCTGTGTTCCCCACTGGTAGCATCAATTAGCCGATTTGTCATAAAATACAAGAAGTCTGAGAAATGAGTTCGACAATCAACGTTAAATGGCGGTGGTATTATTCTTCTTTTTTTTAAAAAATATGAAGGATCGCTTGTTTTACAGTGTTTTAATAATAAAAACAAACAAATTTAGTAGAAGAAAACTTCACACCATCCGACTTTTTTTTCCGTTACTTACTACGAGTTTATTTTAGACCTGACTTTGTGAAATGTAAGCGGTCGCCATTTTAAAAAGCTGTGTATTTTTTCGGGGGAGGGGGGAATAATTCTGTTTGATTCAGAGGGTTATCAACATATATCTTTTTAGAAGTTTGAGAATTGTAATAAACAATAAATAGGTGTTGACAGATGTGTAAACATTCAAAAAGCGGCAAGGAAATTGAAAACATGGATTTGTTGAAAGGTTGCCTTAAGAACGCTTGGTTGTTTGCTTATTTTACAGGCTGATGGCTGCCATTGCTTTTTCAGTATTCATTTTGCATAAAGCCGTTATTGCTCGAAGGATACCTAAAAATTCCCAAATGTCATCAAGAGCAGTTTTTCATGTGGAAGAAATTGTATTTTCAGACTGTAAAAATGAAACAAACAATTTAGAGACGATATTTGGTGATTGGTAATTTGAATGAATTGTAGTATTAAGTTTTCTTCTTTTTTATTACATTTGAAATTCAAGTTATTCATCAAGTTTAGCTTTGCGTTTCTCTAAACAGCCCTGACAATAAAATTGAGGTACCACATGCGGAAAAACTTAAATTGTAGTTTCCTCATTGAAAAGTGTGAAATCATATTTTGATAATATTCACTGTGAAATAATCAAGTATAATTTTCACGGATAAATTAGTAATCAACAGAAAAAGTATAAAATAAATAACGATACCCCTTTTAAAGGTTAAAAATATGACCTGTTTTCTGAACAAACTCTCTTACTGTTTCATCAAATTGACAGATACCAGTTAAAATTACCTGGCAACTATCAGAAATAAGTATCTCGGGTTATTTGAACAAGATCAGCAAATTGAATCAAAATACAGTTTAAATGATGACTGATTATCTAAGGTGATGGTTTTGGGTAAACGCCCCATAAACAATTTGCCTGCTGTCAAAATGCTACCAACGAACTGATCGGTCAAATATGAGATTGGGCAGAACATTATCAAATGAACAGAGAAATGTGATTAGATTGAAAAAAATTTCTAGTTAAAATCGTTGATAAAAATTATGTTTGTTTGAGAAAAGGAAACATAAATGTATGTTTTACTCAATGCAGTAATGTTTCAAACTACAGTTAAATGCCAATATATCTTATAGTTATATATTTAAACAAATACACATGCAAAACTGATTGTTAAAATGTATTAAGAGCTCGTATACAAGACATGTCTTTCTTAATTTTCTTTAACTTTTAGCTGACACCAAAAATATCGGCTTTAATCCAAATGATGTCATTAATTATGTATTTAAAAAGCTAAAACCTTATAATGTTGAGCGGCCTTCCTTATTTTAGATACGCACAATCGAGTTTTTACGCACGCGTAAAATGGCTGCGACGAAATGGTCAGCTATGCACTACATACTTTTAGAATGACCAAAAAATGTTATGTAGACGAATTTCTGTTTAGACCTGCGCAGTTGTTGAAATTAAAGGGGGAAGCATAACGACACAAAAATTTCATTACGTCGTTCTATTAGTACTCTATTATACGTTGACATGACGGGTACTCTTTAGTCAATGTTGTATTGTGCAAGGAATCTGACACCATGTATCTTATTTGAATAAAGACAGAGCTGACATGCTTGTAATTGTTTATCCTAATGCCTTGGACATTATTAATTTCATCCCAATTTAACGATATCTAAACTTTTAATAAGCAAATGACCAACAATAAAAGGCGGCTATTAAAGATTTTGAAGCCGCACATTACTATCCGAACATCTCCACAGAAATAATATAAAACTTTTAAATATATACAGATAAATGTCTTCAAAACAAACCAATTTCCTAGTTGCTTTAAGTAAACAAAAGGATAGATTGAAAGATTCAGATCTTTTATTACATTCTAATGCAACACCAATGGGTTTTGTTCTATATAAAACAGTTCCCCTTAAGACCTTTGCTATTCATAGATGAAAGGCGTTTACGCATGATTTCATTTTAGCCTGGTTCCAAGATATCAAATCTCGGTAACCTACAGACAGTTGCGCAGTTCATTATATGTATACGGAGATAAGAAAACATTGTCTTTCCATTTGAGGAAAATGTAAATATAAATGTTTTGCAACAAAGCAAGTAATCTTAAATTGGTCCTGAAGTGTTAAGCTGATGAATGTGGATGTTTTTTCATATACTTTTACTTTAATTGACGACTCGCAAAGTTAATCGTGTCACTCACTCTGCAGTAAATCATGCGTCACATTTAAAGTTCTAAAAGACTCGGTTGCTTTGCAGCTGAATAAAACAGAGTATTGCAAATATAGCAAAAAAGCATGTTTATTACTGTCAACAATGAAATATAAATAACTACTTGACTGTTTTATATAAAATGGAACAGTCTAACAAAGCCAAATGTAAATGATTATTCCCGTCTTAAATAAGAATACCCCATTTAGTTTTGGCATAAAACTATTATTTTATAAAAAACACTGAAGAAAAGAAATTAATGGTATGCAGCTTTACGCCACGGTTGTTGACATGTGACTAGCAGAATTGTAAAATGAACAGAGAAATTTGATTACAAAAATTGCACATATTCCTAGTTTAAAACATGAATTAAAATAAAGTTTCTTTGCAAATGGGAAACACGACTTATGTTTTATTACATGCAGTAACGTTTCACAACAAATTAAATTATTTATGCAAAGAAAAGTAAACCTCACTATAAGTTTTTATCACATACACCATTATTTCCGCTGGTAAACATCCGCTATTGTCACTTTGTTAAATATTAACTTTTTTGAGATATTTGAGGCTCAAAAGCAAGACACGGAAATATCATACTTAGTTTATTTGACGTAATGCATGCACATGGTTTTTGGAAAAATCAGTTTCTGCTTTGTTCAAACCCTTATACGTTTATATCGACATTTCGTTTTCTCGATCTTTTTTGGACGGTTCCGACGATTTAGAGATAACGAAAATCACTGTATTATTATTGTGACATACCTGATGTGGTTCGCTCGTGTTAAATATCCAATGATTAACACTTGATAACTTTACCCAAAATCAAATTTATCGAAGAATTTTGTTAAATAATATTATATAAATGAATGGTAGCAGTTAATTATTTTAATCTAAGATTGTCCGTCCACTCCGTTATCGCTAATGCCTCGTTATGACCACTCCACATCGCTGATCGCTGCGCCTGTTATCTTTGGGACTTTTAAAGGGAATTAATGTATTTGGTGAAATAATCATTTTAAGATGATATATTGAGATAATAATGGAACAATTTAGCAACTATCAAATGTTCATTTACACATTTTAAACGAATTAAGCAAAAAATTGTGAAGAACCAACAAAATATCGTAAATCGTATTGTTATGTAGTGAATCTTTTTAATTCTTTATTGTAATCAGCATGGTGTACTTGTGATACAACATAAGAACATCAAGGATCAAATGCTTGACTAGCTTTAAAAGAGCTTATTATACTTCCGCACAAATTATCATCTAATCCAGGAACAGAATGCATTAATGCCACTTGATATAAGCCTTTTCCGGAAAAAAAGGTTTTTTTATGTTTTTGTCTCTTCTTTATTTTGAGAAAAAAATGAAAAATTTCAAGGCAAAAGTGTATCTTGCATATTATGAACAGAACAGAACAGAACAGAAGGTTTATTTAGTCGTATGCATGGTACAGCATATAGACATATACAAAAATATATACATACATGTACATGGCAATAATATTCTTATATAAATACAAATTTTACCATATCATATTTACGAGAGTGTTGTATTTTAAACACGGTTAAGTAACTCTTGCCGTTTGTTAAATGCCTTTAACAAATATAATGCGATGTTATTAAGTAAACGTTTGTTCTCTGTTTTCATAAGTTCAACAAATTTCATCATACTAGGTCTCTGCCTATAATATTTTGGATTATGATGTGACCATTATGTACAATAATGTACTGGTAACTCCTGATTTGTTGTTGATACTTTTGCAGACTTAAAAGGAGATATGGACGGAAAGACCCACAAAGGAATGGCAGAAGTGTTCGAAATGCCCGAAGCAGACAGTGGTAAGACTTAAAAAGCATTATTTTGGTATAAGTATGGTTTTGTAGAAGCGATTATATAAGCTTTCTTTTTCAAATCTTTATGACAGCTATATACCATCAACTAAATGGAACCTTACAACATATCATTTTACGAGATAAGAATACTACTAACAGTAAATCCGTGTATTAGTGTAATTTTAAATTAATAAATAAAAATATATGTGTTTATTTTTTGAGATACTAGTAATTATGTTGGATTACGGGTATAAATCGAACAATGTAGCAGCTATGGAATTGTTAAATTTTGCATTAAGAAAGCGTCAGTTGTTAACAACCGATAACATTTAAAATCTTTAAAAACTGCTTATTACAATTATGAAAAAAATGTATACTTCTTTATGATATCCAATGCAAGAACATAATGCATGAATGCCACTAGCCAATATTTATTTATGAAGACAGTTTGTTCTATATCAATTTTGTTTCTCGAGAAATGATTTTTGGAAAATAAGAAGGCAAAAGGTTATCTTGCACATCGTGATGTAAACATTACATAGTAAGCACAAGTTAAAACACTGATATTAAATATAGATGGCATTCGTATTGTTACTAATGTACTGAAAATTCCATACATTCGACAACAAATTGCTACGAAATTTACCTGATTTGTAGTTGATACTTTTGCAGAATTTAAGGAAATTTGAAAGAAAGGGCACGCAAAGAAGTGACAGAAAGGCTTGCATTGCGTCAAAAATACAGCGGTAAAAATTAAGAAGCATTCTTATGCTTAAGACTGGTGTTGTAGGAACGATTATGTTTACTAAGCTTCTTAGTTCTTATCTTTGACAGCTACAGTCAACTAAAGGGAACCTTTCAACTTTTCATTTTCAAGTAGTAAAGACTCGTATTTAAATAAATAAATAGAAACTTATGTTATCATTTTTTAAGATACTTGTTATTATGATGGGTAACGAGAATAAATCGAACAATCTAGCAGCTATGGATGTGTTAAATTTGAATTAAGAAGGAGTCAGATGATTACAACCGATAACATTTATAAGTGTATTTACCCTTAAGGAATAAAACTTTTACACTGAAGATAGATAGGTCAACAATAACTGAAATAAAAAATTATTGACAAGGGTATATCAACAAATAATTAATTGCAACATTAAAAACAATTCCCATAGCACGTTATAACTCGACATATTCATTGGATGTTATGTTAATTAAAGTACGATTAAGTATTGAAAAATTTGTTTACGATAAAGTTTCGACAGAAATTACTATCATCAATATGTTCTGTCATATATCGCTCACATTAAACCACTCTAAGTTTGAGGGATATAGCTTTTCTTAAATAAATGTTGGTATGTGTATCAATTTGTTTGTTAGTTAATTAACATTGATTGTTATCTTTACGTTCTCTTCTTTTTATCACATTAATTTACTCGATTCAATTATCATTACGTACAGATATTTATAAGTTACACTGAAATGAAGTTATAAAATTATATTGTGTTACTTGATGACAAAGTGCTATATAACATAAGGTAAATGATTAGTTTATGATTCCGATTTAACCAGAAAAGCTGCAATCACGTAAAGATTTTAATATTGCGCGTTGCAAATCAAGTGAGGATTTTAAACATCTGCTACAACAGAACCAATGATGGATGATCACCAAACTTTGTCTGTAGAATTCTTAGGTAGTCTTTCGTCATTTTTGCTCATATTAATTTGATCGGCCCCTTTTAGTTGTGTCTTGAGCTAAAAATATAAAATCCTTTAGACATTTTCTTCTACAGAACTATAGATAGATGATCACCAAACTTTGTCAGTAGCATCCTTAGGTAGTCTGTTATCAAGTCTACTTATATATATTTGATTAACCCTCTTTTAGGTGATGCTCAAGCTTAAAATAGAAATACATTTAAACGTCTGCTTCTACAGAACTAATTGATGGATGATCACCAAACTTTGTCTGTAGCATACTTAGGTAGTCTGTTATCAAGTTTGCTCATATTAATTTGATTGGCCTCTTTTACGGGCTGCTAAAGCTAAAAATAGAAACACAATTTAACGTCTCCTTCTACAGAACTAATTAATGGATGATCACAAAATTTTGTCTCTAGTATTCTTAGAAAGTCTTTTATCAAGTTTGCTCATATTAATTTGATTTGCCCCTTTTAGGGACCGGTTAAGTTAAAAAAAATCTTTTGAACATCATTTTCTACTGAAATAATTGATGGATGATCATCAAACTTGTATCATTCTTAGGTAGTCTTTTATCAAGTTTGTTCTTATATATTTAATTGGCCCGTTTTAGGGGCCGCTTAGACTTAAAACAGAAATACCTTTAAACATCTCCTTCTACAGAACTAATGGATAGATGATCACTTAATTTTGTCATATTGATTTGAATGGCCCCTTTAAGGGGCCCCTTAAGCTTAAAATACACACACCTTTGAATATCATCTACTGAAATAATTGATGGATGATCACCAAACTTTGTCTGTAACATTCTTAGGTAACTTTTATCATGTTTGCTCATATTAAATTGACTTGCCCCTTTAAGCATGGCATTTCTTGAAGTTATAGTTAAAGCTATTCTATGCTCAAATTTAATGTTATTAAATATTGACATTGCATGCACAATTTCTTTATAAATATAAGATAATCATGTTTTGACTTCACACGAAATATATACGTTATGTTTTAAACTTTTCATACTATAGGTGGTCATTTTATGAATATATAATGTCATTAAAATAAACTTACTTTTTTATAGGAAAGACCACTTTACTTGGCCTATAATAGTTTTTTTCATTCTTTTATTTAACGTACACATATTCAGTAAGAATTTCATAGATTTGAATAAATTTCTATGATAAAAATAGATAACTCAACGATGAACATAGTATATATTTTATCATGAAAGGGAATCAACTCATGTTGGAATGAAAAAATAATCTATTTCTGGTACTGCTAGGTAACAATAAAATAATGTGTAAATATCTTACAGCTCTAGAATTGGGACACCATATTGCATCAATATAGGGTCAATGATAGGTCATTGGATAGAATTTTCCCTAGGAAATTAAATTAGGCCTAAAGAAAGATTAAATTTGTTACATGTACCTTACTAACAATGATTGTTTGTACGATCAGATTTTTTTAAATTAAATTAAAAATTGTTGTATTTTTTATTTTTTGTTAAACTGGATTCAAACTTGGAGAAAGCACATTTCAATAAATTTTGAGACATACTGTTGAACCTGAGTTGCATGTCCATAATTGAATGTTGACATCAGTTGAGCTGTTTTTGATATTTTTGTGACCCACTTGAGTGGCGGGCATTTAGATTTACCCTTGTCGTTCGTTCTCTTTTGTGTTGCACGTAACTCAAAAAGTATTCAACTGAATACTTATGATATTATAATTTAATATTGTTTGACCTAGTTTCTTGTTTTTGATGTACCTACTTGAAATTTGGACAAGAGGTTTAATTTCTGATCCTGAATTGAATTTTGATATACACTGGCCTACACTGGATATTTTTGATATCGCTTGACTTACTTTTTTGTCTTTTATGTACAGACTTGAAATTTGGACCAGGGGTGTAATCTGTGTAATTTTTTATGTGTAATTCAATTTTGATATCCACTGACCTAATTTTGATATTTTTATAGGTATTATTGACACAATTTGACCTACTGCCTTCTTTTTTGACATTCAGATTTTAAATTTCGATCAGGGGTGAAAATTCTGATGCCCACTCGAATTTTGATATAAACTGACCTACTTTTGATATTTCTTTATCACAAGACCTACTTTCTTGATTTGTTGATGACTTGAAATTTTGACCATGGGCGTAATTTTAATGCCATATTGAATTTTGATATCAGCTGATTTACTTTTGATTTTATTGATATCAGTTGACCTACCTGCTTGATTTGAGAAATACAGAAGTGGAAATAGGACCAAGTGTGCAATTTCTGATGTTAAATCAAAGTTTGATAAAATCTGATCTACGTTTGATATCACTTTACCTGCTTCCTTGTTTTATGACAGACATACTTTAAAAAAAACGATCAGTGTTATAAAAGTATATAACTAGAGGGGCAGGTTAAAGTTGAGCTGGACGTGCCTATCGGCAAGTTCATTTTAAAAATAATTTCTAACACTGAAAAGTTATATGAACTGATTTTTTCACCTACTATAATAAACTAAAAATTGAAAACGATATTACGACCATAAATTGAAACCAGTTTTTATTTCATAAGCATGTAAACAATAATAAGTGTTATCAATAATGTATCATTTGGTATATAAACTTTAACCAAGGAAGTCGTTGTTGAAATAGAGACAATATAGAACTCCTAAAGAGTCCTTTAAACGGCAAAAATGACTATTTGGACACGGACGTCAGTCGATCACAATTGGTAGCTCGAGCCTTGGATTTCGAACTTGGGTGATAATGCGCAATATCTGTTATGGGTAGCGATCTTGATCAGCTTCCAGCTGTTGCTTACTTTAACAACACTAATTCTTGTGATAATTCATGTGATGCATCGAAAAACTGAGACTTGTGATAAACTTAAACCTTAAATTTATTCATTTAATAAACACATTTATCATTCCTCTTTCAATCGCAATTATATTTTATACAAGAACAACTTATGTCAACAATACATCGCTATTATTGTGTTTACATAACAGTCACTTTCTCTCTTAGACTTGATTACATTTACCAAATTCACAAATTCAGACATATAAGGCAGGTAAACTTAAATAACCTTTCAGTACTGTCAGTAAGCCTTGCAAAACAGCTACTATTAATCAATAAAATTATCAGCTTAAAATTACTTTAAATATTACTTATCAAAATAGTTATTTCACGTAAAGACTTGTAGAAAATATTCACCAAAATAGGTTAAAGTACCTTAAAGATTGTTGTTTCTCGAATGAAATTTATACTGTATTTAGCAAGTTGTTTGCGTGTGTGTCCTCGAAAATGA